CGTGAAACCGTGGCTACCGGGACACAAAAATGCGCAGGAGGAGAGGAGGAGAAGCAGAGAACAGAGCCGGAAGTTTGTTTGCCGGGTGAGTGACCATCAGCCCAGGCGGGAACTGCCCATGGACTCTGGATTAAGATGAGTCTTTGCCCCAGCCTTAACAGCGGCTGTGAACTATTGGGGCATAAAGGCAAAAGACCTGTTGGAGAACAATGCGAAATAATGATTTTTTGGAAATGGCTGCATTACAGTGTTGGATATGTTTATTTTTTCTTTGTATGGAAAAATGAGATTGGACTATGTTAGAGAGAGAGGAAGGAGAAGAGGAAATAACTATGCTTTTAAAAAAAAAGAAAAAAAAAAGAAAACAAACTGAGGCAGAGAAAATGGCTGCTAATTGGCAAGTGAAAGTGTGAATTTCAGACTGACTGCTTGTTACTGATTTACAGACTGCCTACTTGTTACATAAAAGGAGAAACTTTGTTACTTGTTTCTTTAAACTTGACTAATTTGTGGGGGGGAGAGAAAGACTCAGATTAAGAGAGCCTGATTCTGGATAGACAAATTTGTTTATTGGAGGATTTATTGAAGATCAGAAGGAAGAAATTAAATGGAACAACGGAAACTGAATTAACAAACGTGGCAATAAGAGAAGGGTGTGGCAGCACAAGAAAGACCATATATGGAATAGCCCAGAACTAATTAAAAAAAAAAGTTGGAACTTTGATGGCATTAAAATGGAGAAGAAATATATTTGGACAGATTGGAGAAAGGAATATTGGAACATACTATGTAACAAGACAACAAATTATTATATTTTGATTTAAATAGATATAATAGTTTTTGGGTGAATGAACAGAGTTAGGAGACACTTCTTTTTTTTCTTTTTTCTTATTTTACCATCTCTCTCTATTTCCCTTTTCTATCTTTTTATTTGTTTTTGTTTTTCCTCTTTAAACTTTTTTTTAAATCTACTTGATTTCCTTCTTTGTTTTTTCCTTTGTTTTGATATATTTCTATCCTCTTCGCTTTTCTTTTCTTTTTTTTACTATTATTATTGCTGTATTATTATTGTCACTATTTTAAGGTAATTACATTATTATTGTCACTATTTCCCGTTTTCTATAATTATTATTACTTTTATATAAACATATAAATAACTTGATTAAGAAATGTTTGAAGGAAGAAGCATGAGTTTTGGATGTTCTAATGCCTTTTTGAATTTTAAATCTTTAACAAGTAGTATTTATAGATTTAATAATCTGGAAGAAAATGTTTTTTCCTTTAAGGTGTTGGATGTTAAAAGAATTATTCATAGATTTAATAAGCATAGAAAAATGAATTTAAAATGGTTTAAAATGATGTTTGTATTGAAATATGAAATAAGCAAGTAACGGGAGAAAATTTAGGAGAAAATAAGAGAGAAGATATTTGTTGAAATGTATATATATATTTTTTAAATTAGTAAAAGATACGGAGGAGAATAGATTGAAAATACCATTGGTGATACACTTTGAAGTAATTTGAAGCTAAACAATTGAATAAGAGATTTTGGAGTGGAGGAAAATATAAAGCAAGATTCTGGTGATCAGTGAAAGAAAAGCTGAGACCCAGTCTTACAAATAGGGTAGGAGTGGAGGAAAGCATCATACTGGAGAACAGTTAATGCAAACTGGGAACTAGTTAAAAATAAAAATAGGAGTTAGGAACGGAGGAAATATGTGCTGGAAAGCAGTTAAAGCAAAACTGTGAACCGGCCAAAATACAGTTAGGAGTGGAGGAAACCATACGCTGGCTAACAGTTAAAGCAAAACTGTAAACTAGCAAAAAATAAAAAGGTAGGCATTGAGGAGACTATACCTGGGGATCAGTTGAAATAAAGTTGTGAACCAGTTAAAAATAGGGGTAGGAGTGGAGGAAAGCATTGCTGGAGGGCAACCATCTGAGTTGTGAACCAGTTTTACATTAGATTTAGGAGGAGTAAAGGAGAAGGTTGGTATGCAGTTAAAATTATACTGTGAACCAGCCAAAATAATTAAGGTAAGGAGTGGAGGAAGTATTACTGGAAAGCAGCTGATTAAGATGTGAACCAGCTCAAAAATAAACCTAGGAGGAAGTAGAAGAGACATTATTGGAGAATAGTAATTGAACTGTGAACCAGTTAAATAAATGGAGAAAGGAATATTGGAAATTATAACTGGGAAATAGATATTTAAACCATGAATCAGTTAAACAGCTGGTCTAATAGAATTTGAGAGTAAATTTGAAGTATTAAGGTAAAATATTTTGGAAGTAATAAAATATAGAAAGAAATGTTGATTTATTTCAAAATGATTTTAAGAGAGGAGGAAAATATTTTTTGTCAAGAATTGGATATCTGTTGTCATTTAAGAGAGATAAAGTATAGTTTTGAGGCAATGGGTTTTAGGATTGAGGAATATATATGAAATATTAATTGTTAAAATGATAAAGATTTAGAACGGTGTTTATTGTTTAGAATTTTGGGTGTTATAGTAGAATGATAAATGTTTAGAATAAGAATGTTGTCTTTTTTAAAAAAAAAATTAATTTTTTTTTCTTTTTAAAGATTTTAAAATTTGGAACAAAATTGATTGAGGGAATGTGAATAATTGTACTTATTTTAAGCCGGACCAAACCCCTGCTCTAAAAAGATGTATTTTATGTTTTATGCTAAAAAAATAAAAAAAAATGGAAAAAAAACATTGATTTACATTTGTATTGGAGTCTCAACACAAGGTTTTTGTACTTTCTGAATTTCAAAATATTTGGAATTTATCTCTTGAATTTTTCTTTTAACCTTGGATTGAAATATCTACAAAATATCTTTTATTTTCTTCTGCCTTATTGTTCTTTGTTCCCTGATCAAGTTACACAGAGTAACAATATGTCAGATTACAGGCAAACAACAGTGGCTAAAATTTTAAGAAAAAATTGTTGAGTAGTATGCAGCTTTTAGTTGAAATTTTCTTTAAAAAGTTTGATGAGATGATAATAGCTGTGGAAAATATGCAGAGGCATGTAGCTCTGGATAAAGATTCACAAAAGAACTCTGATCTGAAAATCATAGACCAAAAAAATATCCCGATAGCTGGAGAACTAATTGAGCTGACCCCAAGCATCTCTTTGAAGATCAAACCTGCATATTCTTACAATACTTGGAGTCTGAATGAGTGAGAAAGTGACAAATCCTTTTTTCCTACTAAGTCTGAAGTAGATTGGAAAATGAATTTATTACACCTAACTGAAAACTACTTCTATTTGGACTTTGTTGTGAAGATAGACCCACTTTGGAGATTGAATGTATTATATTTAATTAGACAACAATTGAGATGGCATTAAGAAACAAACGATAGTTGATCCAGGATGAATTACTTTTAACTTTTGGGATGATTTGGAATAGATACGATGCTGTGATTTTCTATGAGTAGATTACAATAATAATTTGTTTATAGAGAGTTTTGAAACCTTAATCTTGTCTATTGTTGTTGTTATTCCTTTTAACCATTTTATTATTAATATACTACTATAACATAGTATATACACAGTCGCCAAAATGATCCAGTGGAATATCTGTAAAAATGATTATGTGCCAGTAATGAAAATTGATGGAACAATGTTTAAAAAACGATCAGAACATAGAGTTGAAAAAGTAGCCATAAATTTAAAATGGCAAATGGGCAAGTTAAAATATTGTGAGATTTTGAAATGCAAATTGCTAATGTCTTGGCTCCTAATACATCAGATTTAATTGTGATTGAAAAGAAGAAAGTTTGAGTAATTGATATGTGGAATAATTGATAGGGGATAGTTGAACAGAAGACAAGGAATTGGAGAAGATCATGAAGTATCAAGATCTAAAAATTGAATTTGAAAGCATACTGTAAACAAGCCATGGTGGTTATCGGTACACTAGATACCACACCAAAAAATATTGCATGGCACTTGGAAAATTAACATTAACAATATTTCAGTTGATCAATACAAAAGACCATACTGCTTGGATTCACACACATTTTACTCCTCTTGTGGCCCATCAGCGGCCTGTGCAGATTGTAGCTGATTCCGACAATGAGGAGTCTGGTGCGGTGCTGGGCCAGCAGCCTGTGCAGCTGGTGCTCGAGTTGGACAGTGAGAAGGCTGGAGAAGATGTGGTGCCAGAGGCAGGGATTCAGCCAAGGCTTCAGAACCTCCAGAAGCTTCTTTAAGTGAAGAGGACGAAGAGGAGGAGCCTCTTCTCAATGCATGGGCACGCAGAGCTGCCAAAAGGCAGGAGTGGTTCCTCAGGAGGAGGTCTCCTCAAGAGTAAGGTTTGGGGCTAATTGGTCACTCCCTTAGCCTATTTAAGAAGGAACGCCGCTTGCAACAAGCTGTAGAGAACAACTTTAGTTCACTCTCTTTCATGTCTGCAAAACTGCTTCTGGGCTTTCTGCCAACTCTAGTAAGACTGTGATTACCTTATCATAGAAGTCTGGTAGGCTGTTAAGACAGTGCATTAACAGCCTTTGAATGATAAAGACTAAGTTATTTTGAGTCAATAAGCTTTGTATAGAGTTTGTATGTGCTGCGTTCTTTAGGATCTGTATCTGGGGCAGAACAACTCCAATACATTACATATCTTAAGTTCTTGGGAAATACTTGATGTGTATGAAGGCGAACCCAAGCTAAAGAACTGGCAGTTGTTATTTCAGGTTACGTGTAATAATAATAATAGTAATAATAATAACAACAAATACAATGGTTACAAATACCTAGGCATATTGGAAGCAGATAACATCTTGAATGGAAAAGCCAAAGAGTCAGCAGAAAAGGAATACATCAGGAGGGTCCACAAAATATTAAAATCAAAACTGAATGCTAGAAACATAATTAAAACCATTAATACATGGGCAGTTCCAGTGATACGCTACTCAGCTGGAATCATCAACTGGACTTTGGCTGAACTGGAAAACCTGGACCGGACGCACAAACTTTTGAATATGTACCATGGTTTACATCCACGAAGTGACATCGACAGGTTGTACCTGCCAAGAAGAATAGGGAGCAGAGGGCTATTGCAAATCCATCAAACTGTAGAAAAAGGAAAACAAAGTTTGAATGACTATGTGAACCAAAGTACAGAAAAATTGCTGCAGGCTGTGAAAATAGAGGACATTATAAAAACAACAGAAACAAAGGCAGAATATAAGGAAAAACAGCTAGATGACAGATTAAATAGATGGAAAACCAAAGCTGTGCATGGATAGCACTTGAAAAGCATTGAAGAAAAATGTGATAACAACTGGCATGGACATGGCTTAAGACGGGAACTATCAAGAAAGAAACGGAAAGTTTAATACTTGATGCTAAGAACAAGCACTACAATACCATGAAAGTGAAAATATAAAAATCCACTGACAATCCAAACTGCCGACTTTGCAATGACAAAGTTGAAACTGTTTCACATTTAATATGTGAGTGCAGCAAAATCGCACAAACTGATTACAAAGCTAGACACAACCGAGTTGCTAAATTAATCCACTGGTCATTATCTAAAAGATATGCCTTACCTGCATTTGAAAAGTCATGGGAACATAAAGTAGAAAACGTTGTTGAAAATGAGATGGTGAAGATCTTGTGGGACTTTCGAACACAGACGGATTGTCATTTGGAACACAACATGTCAGATATCACAGTTGTTGAAAACTGAAGTGTACAATTTATTGATATCACTGTACTGGGAGACGCCAAAATTGAAAAAAAAGAGCCTGAAAAAATCACGGAATATCGTGACCTGGCCATTGAAACTACATAATTATCAATGAAACATGTAACAGTGATACCCATGGTGATCAGGGCACTTGGTAACATGTCCAAGAATTTTACAAAATACATCAAGAAATTGTGGCTTCCTGCAATAACACCAGCAGAACTGCAGAAAACTGTGCTACTCGGAACATTGTACATCTTAAGAAGATACTTGGATGATACCTAGGATGCTGGCAGCAACCCGTATCAACCATTAGGGCCAGTCTGTGATATTTGTGGTATATTTTTAAATGTTCAGTTGACTGAGTTTCATGTTTAATGAATAAAACACCCAAGGATGCAGAAACAAAAGCTAACAGTAAAAGCAAAAGGGAACTTAAAAAGAAAATTTAAAAGGAGGAATAAATTGGAAATACAGTAGGGAGGAAATCCTAAACACAACATGGCAATGACACCCAGACAACCAAAGATAAAGGACTTATTTCAGATAATGAACGCTGCAAGTAAATCTTTATTGGTTTTGCACTTCCACCCTCATAACCTCTGTAAATAAACCCTGCTCCTTACTGGAATGGGAGGAGGATTACTGCCTTTCTCTGGAAACTGAGGCTCCATTGGGAGCCAGAGCGGGAGAATAAAGATAATACAAAGAGCAATTTTAAAGGAGACTTGGAATTGTTTGCCAAGAATTGCCTCCTGACAGCACAAATAGTTATTGCTATATTTGATTAGTTCTTGGAAGCAAACAAAAAGTTTGAAGAATAAAAATCTCTAAAATTTCTACACCTCTAAGTTAGATAAGGAAGCAAACAGCAAAGCCCATGCTCCAAAACTTAATCTTAATTCATGGATAGTTCATGTGTATTGGGGGCTTCAAGATGGAGAAGACATGGAGGACTTCCAGTTTGACATTGCTGCGACACAGTCATAGGAAGCGAGATTCTGTGAACCTAGGCTGAACTCTCCTTGCTGGGGGCCCCTTAAAGAGCTAAAGTCACCTCATAGGGATGATGAAGAAAGAAAAGACACCTTGCAGATCGTGGAGAGTGGCAACTCTCTTGCTTGATCCAAGTCTAACCCTCCTATTGAACAACGAGGAAGGAGAGATGGCCATTATGGCCGCCGGGAAGCTGGAACATCCGAAGAAAGAAATGTGCTGGAGCAGTGTTTGAACAGTGGACTGGAGCTGGGTGAGATGATCTTCAACTTCTTTACTAGAGATTAAACCCCAAAGAAATGAAACTCCAAAAAGATGATTCTCCAAAATGTTTAAAGTGGCTAACAATTACTTAGAGGAAGACTACAGACTCAAGAAAAAATGAAAGCTAAGATGGGATATAATTTTAAAATATAGAAAGACTGGATTTGAACATTTTATTGGCAACATCTTGAAAAGGCATTTTAAAATGCTGGAAACAATGGGCTGATTATTGGGGAAAAGTGAAAGAAAATTATTTGAAGAAATCGAATGCTGTTAGATTGGGTGTCATGTTGAAAGTTTAGGCGGTGATGCCATCTACTGGTGAAAGAAAGGAAATACACTAAATGTTTACACGGCTGGGAAGACTTTGAAATAATTTCTAATAGTGGAGGTAAACACATCTAGAAGACTAGATACTGTATACTGTTTGATACCTATTTGTTTCACAACTAAGGGAAAATTTCTGAGACTTTTGAAGATTGCTAAGTAGACACTTGAAACTACAGTTGCAAGAAAAAGTATGTGAACCCCTTGGGATTACTTGGAGTTTTGCATGAATTGGTCATAAAATGTGCTCTGAACTTCATCTAAGTCACAACAATAGAAAAACACAGTCTGCTTAAAATAATACTACACAAACATTAGAGGTTGCCATGGTTTAATGGAACATAACATGTAAATATTTACAGTGCAGGGAGGAAAAAGTATGTGAGCCCCTAGCCTAATGACTTCTCCAAGAGCTAATTGTAGCCAGGAGTGAGCCAACCTTGACTCCAATCAGTGTGATGATTTTGGATGTGTTGCTGACAGCTATCCTGCCCTTTAAAAACACACACCTATTTTGGGGTTACTGGTTTCAAGAAACACTGTCTGATGTGAACCATGCCTCGCAGAAAAGAGGTCTCAGAAGACCTACGATCAAGAATTGTTGACTTGCATGAAGCTGGAAAGGGTTACAAAAGTATCTCCAAAAGCCTTGATGTTCGTGTGTCCACGGTAAGACAGACTGTCTACAAATGGAGAAAGTTTAGCACTGTTGCTACTCTTCCTAGGTGTGGTTGTCCTGTAAAAATGACTGCAAGAGCACAGTACAGAATGGTTCATGAGGTAAAGAAGAATCCTAGAGTGTCAGCTAAAAACCTACAGAATTCTCTGGCACATGCTAACATTTTTGTTGACACATCTACAATAAGGAAAACATTAAACAAGAATGGAGTACATGGGACGACACCACAGAGGAAGCCATTGCTGTCCCAAAAAAATATTGCAGCACGTTTGAAGTTTGCAAAGGAGCACCTGGATGTTCCACAGCACTACTGGCAAAATATACTGTGGACAGATGAAACCAGTGGTGGGATTCAATTTTTTTAACAACAGGTTCTGTGGGCTTGGCTTAGTTGGGGGTGTGGCTTGGCAATCATGTGACTGTGTAGGCGTGGCTAGCTGGTCATGTGACTGTAGGCGTGGCTAGCTCATCATGTGACCGGGTGGACGTGGCTATGTGCATAAGGACTACTCAGAGGGCTGAAAAAAGTCATTTCTGACTGGGCCTCGCACTTTTGACCGGTCCTCACACTTACGACCATCCTCACATTTATGCCCGTGCAGCTTTCTTAACAACCATGTCACTCATTTCACAACTGGTCAAAAACTAGGGCAAAAACGTAAAATGTGAGGACAGTTGTAAGTTTGAGGACTGGTCAAAAGTGCGAGGATCAGTAAAAAAATAACTTTTTCAGCCCTCTGAGTAGTCCATATGCACAAAAGGACTACCCAGAGGGCTGAAAAAAGTGATTTCTGACAGGTCCTCGCACTTTTGACCGGTCATCATTTATGCCCATTGTAGCATTCTTAACAACCATGTCACTCATTTCACAACTGCTTCTCTTCACCATGGTGACAAGATAGGGCAAAAACGTAAAATGTGAGGACAGTCGTAAGTTCGAGGACTGGTCAAAAGTGCGAGGACCAGTCAGAAATAACTTTTTCAGTCCTCTGAGTAGCCCATATGCATAAAAGGATACAGCAATAGAGAGAGATGAAGGAAGGGAAGGGAAATTAGAGTAGGAGTGAGGGTAAGAGAGAGAGGAAGAGAGGAGGAGAAGGAGAAAGGAAGAGGAAGTAGGGAGGAGAAGAAGAGGGGGAGGAAGAGAAAGTAAGAAGGAAAGAAAAGAGAGAGGTGGTAGGTTTGAGGAGAAAGATTGCTGTACAATAAAAAAGATGAAAGGGAAGAAAGCCAACCCCAAACAAATATAAAGATATTAAGATAAAGAATGAATTGTTAAACTTTAAAGAATAAAAGAGAACAAATATGAATAAATAACAATAATTAGAAACACACATTCAAACATACAATGTATTTTCTTTGAACAGAGTATTTGGCCGATTCACAAATTTAAACAGTGTTTAGTCATTTCAATTAAATTTACAATTTCTATATTTCCTTTTTGCCATATTTATTCCTCATCTATTTTTGTAAAAAACCAATATTACCCTTCATCCTCATCTCTAATCTTAATCAAATTCAATTTTTCCCTTCTATTCTATATTATACCCCTTCCCATTGTCATCTATTTTTATATCCATCCTCACATTGGTTAATTATGTAATATTAGTTGTTTAATATAAATTCAACATTTTAATATAAATCAATTAGTTATATAACTACCTTTTTTGTATATTAATCAATATGAACATGAATATTCCAATTATTTCCCTGCAATCCAATTTCTTACAAATCAATTATATTTACCAATAATAATAAACCAAATAATTTCCCCCATATATTCCTCCAAACCACAACTTAACCATTTCTGCTTTCAAAAATATACAATTAATAGTATCTCAATTATTACAATTCCCTAGTTAAATAGAGCTTTTTTTCTTTTGTGTTTTAAAATCCTGAACTCTCCTCTTTTTCCCTAAATTTCCCATTGTTTGCACCTACCTTTTTTGGTGAGGAAGAAGAAAAGAATTCTGCCTGCCTAATTTTCCAACCTTGCAGCAACAGAAAAGCAGTTTCAGTTTCGTGTTTCAGCATAGCTAGGGGGGAAAAAATTGCTTCAAGACTCTTTGCAAGGAAGCAGCCGAGCCCTGAGCAAAACAGCTGAGACAAATCAGCTGAGAGCCGGGAGGCCGATAGAATCAAGGGGCTAATTAGCCTATGCTGAAGCTCCGTGGGCCAATAAAATTACAAAAAAACACCGAACTCTTTGTTAAATTGCTGGCTCTCCCACCCCTCGCCCACCACTATTTATTGGCAATAAATAGTGGTGTGGAGGGGCGGGGCAAGCCAGCAATTTAACAAACGGTTCGGCTGCACCACTGGCTATAGGGCGGCCCTTTGAAGCCCCTCGGCAAGAATTTGAAGTTTTTTTTTCCTCTAGCCATCAGCTGGGACTCCGGAGGCAGCAATAGATTGGGAGTGGGTGGGGTAAGCGAACGGCCGGCGATCCAACAGAGGCGAGAGTGAGGGTGAGTGAAGGCGTGGAAGCTGCTTTCTCCATCCTGCTCTCTTGCGTCCGGAGCCGGTGGGGAACCACGTGGCAGCCCACGTGGATCCCAGGCAGTGGAACTCAGGCTAGGGAAGGGGTGGGCAATTGTGGCTCTTTTACAACCTTAGGCCTTCAACTCCCAGAATTCCTGAGACAGCCAAGCTGTCTCAGGAATTCTGGAAGTTGAAGGCCACAGGTTCTAAAAGAGCCACAATTGCCTACCCCTGGCTACGGTAGGCTGGTGCCGCACGGGTGGGAGGCGGGGCGGGGCGAGGGGCGGGCGAGCCAGCAATTTAACAAACAGTTCGGTGTGCTGCGGGGTCAATAAATTACAAAAAAACACCGAACCGTTCGTTAAGTTGCTGGCTCGC